CCACCACCACCACCACCACCATCACCACCACCTCCACCACCACCTCCACCATCACTACCACCACCGCCGCCGCCACCAGCATTGCCACCACTAACAATGTCATCATCACTACCATCACTAGCACTGCCATCATCACCCCTATCATGGTCATCACACCATCATCACCTCCACCAGCCCAGTCCTGCGGGGCTTCCTGTCTTTCCCCAGTAATCAAGTCCTCTGTTACACAAAGTGACTCCAGGCCTCACAGGGGTGACAGACTTACAGTTGACCTGGACGAAGAGCACAGCCTCATCGTGCCCTGCCATGTTCTCTGCCCTGATGGACACACGGTAGACACCAGGGCTCTCGTAGCGGTGCCGGATGGGCTCACCAGTCAGTGTGAGGTTCACGTACATAGCCTTAAAGCCGTCACCCAGGTCTACCTGGTACTTGGTGGTCAGGACGTCACCCTGCAGGGAAGCACCACGAGGCCACTCAGCAGTGGGGACCCATAGAAGCTGAGGGTCCTCTACGAGCAGAGCCACGGTCCATGGTCCAGCTGCCAAGGCAGGAGCTGGAGGGGCTGCAGGCAGCCTGAGGGAGCAGTTTGGGGGCTGGTGTGGCCACGAGACCCCTGAGGCAGAGCCTGGAGCTTGGGAAGTTCTCACACCAGGAAGGGCTCCAGCAATGACAGAAAGGAAACGGTGAGAGAAGCAAGGCTGTCCCTCGCTGGTGCTGCTCGCTGTGGTGCCCACGGAGTGGCCTGGGCGGCAACCCAGGCAGGGCTAACAGGTCTCATGCAAGTGCTCCTGCGTGTGCCCATCCCCCACTGCACGGTGCGGGCTCTGGCGCTTTTCTGCACAGACTGGAGCGGCAGCCTGGCCTTTTGCTTAGAGCCATCTCTGGCTTGCATGAACCCCTGCTTCCCTCTGGCCAGCCTGTCCCCCAGTGGGGGCGTCCTGGCCATGCCCAGCTCGGCACCTTGTCCTTCCCAGCCGCACTCACAGCCGGCCTGGGGGCTCCTCGCTACACCTCGACTGCTTCTCCCACGCTTCTCCTGCAGCATGGGATTGTTTTGTGCCTGTCCTCCTCAGTGGGGAGGTCCAGGCAGCTGCAGCCCAAGGCTCCAGGCTGCATGCAGCCTGTGGGGGTGGCCTGTGTGTGAGCGGCTGTGGGGCCGCATGTGTCTCCGGGAGGGCAGGGGAACATGAATGTGAGCAACTGCATGTGTGAGCTGGGGTTTGTGTGTGTGTGTGTGTGTGTGCATGTGTGTGTGCGTGTGTGCATGTGTGTGCGTGTGTGCATGTGTGTGCGTGTGTGCATGTGTGTGCGTGTGTGCATGTGTGTGTGCATGTGTGTGGGCATGTGTGCGTGCGTGTGTGTGCATGTGTGTGTGTGTGTGCGCGCGCGTGCATGCGTGTGTGCGTGTGTCCAGCCCCAGTTCCCCTCTCCTGCACCCCTTTCTCAAGGAAGCCAGCAGCCTCTTTCAGGCCGGGGAACACAGGGAGACCCCTCTTCTGAGAGCACCTTCAGGTAGCTCCCCTCCCCTCTCCTCCATCCTGTTCAGCCCCGCCCCAGGCCCAGTGAATAGTCAGGGGTTGTCAGGTCCCCTGAGCAGGCAGGACTGAGGCTGCTGGGATCCAGGTGGACTGTGTGACACAGTGCAGGTGCAGGCTCTGGGCTCTAGGGGGCAGCAGACACCCACGGCACCTGGAAGTCTGCAGGAACTCCTTGCCACCACAGGCCACCCTGAGGGGATAGGGCTTTGTCCCCTTGTCCCCAACATGCTGCTGTGAAGAGAACCCCCTTCCCCCATCCCCAGGGTAACCCCCACTGCTGAGCAGCATTTACAAGGGGACAGGGCTAAGGGAAGCCAAGCCAGGAGCTCAGGTCTGGGGCCACAGACTTGGTCCCTTACACTGGAAGACCCCAGACTGGGACCCTGTGTCACCCTGTCACTTGGTATGACATGGTTTTCAGATGCAACCTCAGCTACCAGCTCAGTTTCTCCACCTGTACAAGCCAGAGGAATGAAGGAGGTGGCTGCCTGAAGCACGTGGCAGGTGCTGGCCGCCACCTGCAGCCTTGGTCCCCCTATTCGCACGAAGCCAGTGTCCTGCTTTCTGACTCCAATGACCTCTGTCACCAGCCCACCACCTGCGTGGCACTGTGTTTCCACGGACACTGGTTGCATTCCTCCACTGGGGATCCCCATGCCCAGCAACCCGGAGGCTTTGAAGTTGGGGTCCCTGGGGCCCCCTGGTGTGGGTCTTCTGGGTACTTTTCTGTGGTTCTGAATTTTCTGCATGTTTGCAAGTTTTCCTAATTTTCATTTCTGAATTTCTTATATTGAACATTCATTTTTTCTATGATCAAAAACATAAGTGCATTTTTAATGACTAGAAAGAAATATAAAAATTAGTAGCTCCCCTGAGGAAACACGATTTGGGGTGATATTTATGTTCTTGATTTCTTTTTACATATTTTCTAAATATTCTACAATGACTACATATACTATTTTTAAAATTAGAAGGAAACAAAATGCTTGTCCTAAGTAAAAATAGTAAGAGTGGGAGACTGGGAAGAGATTTCTATGTTATATTTGGATTGTGTATTTATAAAATCTATATTTAAACCTATATCCATGCAGAGACACATACGGATTCATCTTTGGTTGTATGACTCTAAGAAACAGGTTCTCTTCCTGTTTTTGTTCAGATCCTAAACTAAGTTTGTGATAACATTAGAGGTACGCATTTTTTCTGACACCGATAAATGAATACATTTGCCACCAAGTCCAGTACGGACAGCGTAGCCCTGGACAGCACAGCACAGGGACCCCAGCGGGGCCCCCTGAGTCCCTGTACCCCGTTCTTCTGGCTGTTTCACTGCCAGGCTCTGGGGCGCACTGGGGTGACTTCTGGCTCTGGTGCCTCCTGCAGCTCCGGCTCGGCTGGCCTCTGTGGCAATGTCCTGGCCTGCACAGCGCCCGCACCCCGCCCCATGGGGCTCACCAGCAGCCACTCACCTGCTCCTGCCGCACCACGAACAGCACGTCCTCTCCAGGCCGCACGGCCACTGCCTCGCCCAGGATGCTCACCCGCAGGCCCCGGGGTGGCGTGAGGGGACACGGCAGTGGCCCTGGGCCCCGCTGCAGGTCCACGCCACCCTCACACACATTGGACACCACCTTCCGGTACCTGGTGGACAGGGGAGGGCAGCGTCACGTCACACAGCTGGCGGTGAGGCTGCGCAGCCCGGGTACAGAGGTGTTCGTCAGCTAGGCTGGCTTTGGCTCAACCCTTCCCGCTCTACCCGCCATGCCTCCTGTTACCCTGCCTGCCTGCCCTGCCTGACACTGGCCTGCCCTTCTTGAGGAGCGGGCACCGCGGCCTCCAGGGCACCCTGGGCCTTGTCCTACCAGTGAAAGCAACGCTGCTGCCGCTGCCGAGTCTGAACTGTCTTGGTCTTGCCGAAGAGCACAGAGGACACAGAGCCTGGCAGGCCTGGCCTGGCACCCTTTGGCTGTGGGCAACACACCCTCCTTGGGCTCCGTCACTCAGTTGCCTGAGAGAGCCAGCTCGAGGTGCCTGGTCCATGAGCCCCTCCCTGTGCCACCTCTTTACTGAACATTGTTAAGTGCTGGGCCCTGGGAGGGAGGTAACACGTGTACCCCTCCCCTGGTGGGCAGACTGTCCACACCAGTGGAGCATGGTGGCTGTGACAGCACTGGGAGAGGTGGCACCTGGGGACCCTCGAGGCCTTCAGCTTAGCCTGGGAGGTGAAGGGGAAAACTGGCACAGGCGACAGGAGTGTCATGGGCAAAGCCCTGCAGTGGCAGGGGGAGCGGGCACACGAGGCTAGGAGGAGCTGCTGACTGGAGCCTGAAGGGCCCTGGGATGCTTCAGAGACTGCTGGGAAGCCACTGCGTGGGTGGCACCACAGCCTGAAGAGCTCCCTCAGCCTACTTGGAATGCAGAAGCTGACATTGCTTAACAGCACTCAGGGCCTGCATCCCCGGGGACTGGGCTCTCCCTTGGGTAGACAAGTTTATCTAGCAAAAGCCCATGTGCTGAGTGTGTGACAGAGGATGTGGCTCTAGGATCTGCCCACCCATAGCTCCCTAGTACCCAGTATGCACATGGCATGGCTAGAATCCTTTGCCCTTGTCATAGATCCTGGCTGCCTGCCAAGCCTGAGGGTGTGCTGGAGAGGCCCTGCGGCTATGGCAGATGGACAGAAAAATGACTCGAAGGATGACTGACTATATAGGCGGGTGGTGGACTGATGGGTCAACATTGAAAATAGATGAGTGGATGGATGGATGGTCAGGGGGGTGAGTGGACAGGTGGATGGTGTATTATGTATGTGTGAATAGAGGGAGTGATGGGTGGGTGCATGGATGGATGGATGGATGGTGTGTGAACAATGGACAGATGGACAGATGGGTTTCTGGATATCTGTGTGGATAGCTGGAGGGGCAAATAGAGGGATGGATGGTAGATGAATGTTTGGAAGATGGATAAATGAATAGATGGACTATGGATGGGTGGGTGGGGATGGGTAGATGTGAAGATGAGTGGATGGGTAGATGGCTGCCTGGCTGGCAAGTGGGTGAGTGGACCTATGGATATCCAGATGGCTTGGTGGGTGGACAGGCTGACAGGTGAGTAGATGGACAGATGTGTGGATGAATAGATGGAGAGAAGTATGGGTGGATAGCAGATGGATGGATGGA